AAGAAGAAGAAGAAGAAGAAGAAGAAGAAGAAGAAGAAAAAAATGTTGCATTTAGAATTTAATGTTTTAACCTCGTCATCTTTGGTAACTCTGCACTGTTTTGACATGGCTCCTTAACGTAGCTCTACTTTCTTCTTCTTGTATCTTGCAAAATGTGCTCACAAATATTTTATGAGGAGTGAAGACCAACATTTATTTTACCGTGCCTTCGCCTGTATCTAACAGAAGCACAATGTATATGCGGCATCGTATGCAGTGAATAGACTGATTTATAATAAAACAAAATATTCCGTCACTGTGTGACACGTGTCACTTTTAATATTTATCTCAGTTCGAATTATATCAGTTTAATCATGTAATTGAAATTCATTATCTCATTAGCCAAATGTAATAATTATATTTCTATTTATTAAAGCACATTTATCTGTCTGGTATTTCTTTTTTCGTATATTGGCATATTACTAAACTACAGCCGTATCAAAGTTATGTGACAATTACGCATTGCTAAACATATTTGGATATTAGTAACTTAATCAGTCATCTGTCATCTGTATGTAACATACATGGACTTACCTTTGATTACAGCAAACATCACTGTCATGGCAAACAGTTTATTTACCATAATGCTTGGTTATATTTTTGAATGAGAAGAAAACGGTGCTCCCTGTCGTTGAGATGGGTTCGGAATGACATCTTAAGAGATATGGCGCATATATTATTAAGTGTAGAAAGTATATAAATCGATAATACTACCAAGGAGCCGTAGTTAAACAAAGAAAGGTGACAAACAGAAAAAAAAAATTAAGAAAATATCACAAATTCTGAATGCGTTGACTAGTTCACTTACGTGGAATGGTGAAAAGAATATCTCTAATTTGCATAGACGTAGCATCAAAGTAGGGAGAGATCACATAGCGTGTCAGGAACCATTTACAGAAAAACTCTTCTTATTAGAGAAGATTTGTATAATAACATTACATGTCTTCAATCTCTTTTCGAAAACATAACTGTCTTCAATATTAGGCTATTTGAAAACTGTTTGTCTTTTCAATAAATTTTGAGTCATCATGGCCACTTTCAATATTCAAATTGACATTTGTCTTTTTACCTTCATGTAAATTTAATGCTTTTATTTTGCATTGTTTTTTATCATTTGTTGGCCCTAATGACCTTTCTTGTGTTGATGGGCCGTTAAGCATTTAATAATAATAATAATGATAATAATCTATGCTTAACATATATATCCATTTCAGAAAAAAATCATCAAAATAACATGTACATGTATGCCTTTGAAATTGAATTGGCAAACATATTCTTTAAAATGTTAAATCTGAAAGTTAACCCAACGCTTTGCTCGGGTTTGACCACCAAGAAAATTATCCTACAAAATGAAAGTTAACATTCACACATCTAAGGTAATGGTAGGCGTCGTCTGCTTCATCGATGACACCCGCCATGTTAATTCAGCCGAATCCAAGTAGCGTCACGTCCTCACATCGACAACTCGGGTAGTGACAACAACACCACAAGTAGTGTCAAGTCCTCACAACGACAACTCGGGTAGTGACAACAACACCACAAGTAGTGTCACGTCCTCACATCGACAACTCGGGTAGTGACAACAACACCACAAGTAGTGTCACGTCCTCACAACGACAACTCGGGTAGTGACAACAAAACGTCAAGGCACAGAAATGAGTGTAATCAAAAGTAACGACCTTCATGTCACACACAGAAACAGCATGATGTCGATGGTGTAGCTGTTTCTTCAATCAGATTTGCTTTTTCATTACCATATACTGAAACCAGATCTATCCAAAGTTATTGTAGCAATATACATTCAATTTGAAAAATAATATCTTATTAAAGATTTTGAAATCAAACGTTTCTGCAATAAAAAACACACACTTGAGAAACAGGTCTTGTATCTAGGGAATAGTTTTAAATATTTCCGAACAAGATAATAATTTTAAAGTAACGTACCTACCCTACCTGCCAGGCAGCTAGAGTGGTCATTTAAGTAAATGAATTCGAAACAGTCGTCAAATTTAGTATGTAAAAGCGTGCAACCAGTTTTATAGGGTTGACTTAAACATCGTCCAATAAAGATTTTAGGAGACCCGAGTTTGTTGGTTTGCAGGACGCGTATCATTTATTCATTTTTGCATACTGTATTTATTACCAATCTTAAAGGTGTAGTCACCTGCGTGTGCTACGTTCATTTACATTTGTCCTTATATCTATGTAAAAGAGTTAGTGACACTTTCTATAGTGATGCATGTTGCCCTCTCGCGATGAACCCAGATATGTTAAGCACTTAATATGTCGTCTGCTCTAACCAGTTTACCGTCACAAGCAATACACATGCTCAAAATGTGTGTTTAATTACACTGTATATGAAGCGGAAATGATTGTGTGTGCGTGTGTGAGCGAATTGGCAAGATGGGACTCTTTTAATTGTGTATTATGTCGTATATTTGCGAATGATTCATCAAGGCATTGCATATAATCATTTTTTTTTTTGTTATCTGTAGCAATTTGTGAAAGAAACCTATAAGACTCACAATAAAAATAAAAGGCGCAGATGTTATATGAACGTGTTATCAACTTATCAATCACATGGGCCCGGTTGCTGAAAGACTGCTTAGAGTTAACCCGAGTTTAGGGGAAATTTTAAGATTTGAATACAACAAAATCAATAACATGTGATATCTTTTCACTACTATAACAAATTGTTGATGGGATTGATGTGTTTTGAGGATTCATTTTGCATTGAAAACCACTGTTTTTAGTGGAAACAACTTTAATTTTCTATTAACCACTGGTTAAAGCTAGCCAACCATTAATTAGCGACGCCTCATTGTACTAACAGATGGTTCAGATAGCTTTCGGTATTTTAAGTTTAATAATCTTGACTTTAGATAGCTTTCAGTATTTTAAGTTTAATAACCTTGACTTTAATATGTTTGCCAAGTTATCCAATGTATCTTGCCAGAACATGTAAATCGATGTTGCGTCTTTTATCTCGTCGATCGTATACAACCTCTTGGACTTGAAACAGAGGACACTAACGGCTCTTCTACACCCACCGCGTACCCCTATGTTTACTAATAACATTACCAATACAAATAGATAACTAGCAAATTATTTGATGTGAGTGACGAGGTCTATATTTCCCTTTCTTGTTAGTGACATCCGTGCTTCTCCGATCTTCGATGTTTGAATATCGCAGTTGATTCTATATTCGCAGGCTTCTTCCAAAAATCTTGATTTCCGTGATAAATGTGGAATGCTGACAGGTAAGCGTAACACACTGGTTCTCAGGACATATGATGGAGATTATTGCCAGGTGTTATTGTTACCAGCATGATCTCATTGGAAATATTATATAAAGTTGTGTGTTATAAATATCGCTGTGGTTGGTTCTGTATTCGCTGTTGGGTGCCATTGTTACTATCCCTATTCTCACTATGAGATTGTTACGTTCATCTTTCACGGTGGCAGATTCTTTTGGTGAGTTGTTTAGTCCCCGATGTTTGCCGTAACCTTGATGGTCACATTTATCTCTTTTTAGTAATGACACCGTTCATAATAAACCTGCTTAACTAATTAATTTATTTTGAATTAACCAGTCCCTGAAAATATTGAGAGGTATAACTTTCCGAGGGTTTTTAAAACAATTTGAATTCCCACTGTTTTGGTCCCTAGAATCACCGATCAGTCCTGGTGTCATTGATTCTGACATAACTCTCAGATCGGTGTATATTCAATATATTTTTTATCTACAAAATTTACTTTATTTGACTAAGAATAAACTATTTCATATGACGTCACTATATGTTTAATAATACGTACAGTTACAGTGAATTCCTATTGATGGCATGACTTTTTCAAACGTTATGTTATCAACTACACTGAGCATTCGTCTACTCCAATCAATGTCATTATCTCCATCAAAATATAAACTATGTGATTACTGAAATGCAAACTAACATGTGTTATGTGGGTTATATATATGTCTTTATTTTGTTTGGTTTGGTTTAGAATTGTTAAACGTCCTATCAACAGCTATGGCCATTTAAGGACGGCCTCCCCTGTGTGCAAGATGCATGCGTGTAGTGTATGCGTGTGTGTTTTGGGAGGCTGCGATATGTCCGTGTTTGTCTCCTTGTGATAGCGCGGAACTGATGCCGACTTTATAGTGCTACCTCACTGAATCATACTGCCGAAGACACCCAGGAGGACGCCCCACCGGTTACATTATACTGACAACGGGCGAACCAGTCGTCCTACTCCTAAATTGCCGAGCGTTAAGCAGGAGTAGAAGCTACCATTTTTACAGAGTCTGGTATGTCTCGGCCAGGGGACAGAACCCAAAGCTTTCCTCACAGGGGCAAACGCTCAACTAAAGGCCAAAAGTGAGGCATTGTCAAGGGAGACATTAGGAAGAAGAAAATTGTTTAGAAAGAAGAGAAAAGATAAGATTCCAAATTTAGTCGCCTCTTACGATCATGCAATGGGGGCAGCAGGTACAATTCTTACGCCCAACATGCAGAGACGTTTATGTCTTTAAATCATCAAACTACATTTAAGTCTGTAAGGATGTGTGTGATCGTTTTTGTACTATAATATGCCAATTTGTTTCTTAGTTTAAAAACAAATAATACAATTGTGTAAAACTCTTGTGTGCTAATAATAATAACATAACAGTCATATTGTAGATCAGCACACTTTCATATTTCCGTTCGGCAAGTATTTAATCATAAAGAAGACACAAAGGGCGCCAGAAAGGCAGCAGGCTTACCTGGACCCTTTCACATAGGAATAGCTTGCATGTTTTATATTGCAAATGGTTACCTGGCAAAAATGCTCGATAACAAATAATTCCTTTACTTCTTTATTTCAGAATAGTAATACTATTTATTAATTATTTATTAACCAACATCATCGGTTTGTAATTGTCAAGTTGTATCTCAATATGTGTACAGTTTAAATGTTGTCTATTCAGCAGGTGTTACCAAATGTCCACTGAAAGTTGTGTACATGCTAGCGTAGTAATACGAAGTCAGGTCCCCACTAGCAATCAGGTAGACTTGCTGTCCTTGGGTAAGAGAGATGTACACAGTATTTGATGACGTGCCCCAGCTCGGAAGACTCTCCGCCAAAACTGTGACCACCCAGTTGTCAACGCCGTCAACGGTCTTAAATAGCTTGACGGCAGCCTGGAATGTAAAGGGAGATAAACTGTGTCAGTTGTAATATATCATAAGTTTATAATTATTTCACGAAAAGCTCGTTACAAACTTTGTTTCTTTCAAATATATGGAGCATTCTTTTTTATATGAAGAGTTGTCTCCCTTAGCACAAATATATCAAAACGGAATTTATTTAAAATTGTTATACAAATGTGTCCCATCAGCTTTGCTATACATCTGTACCTTGATGCTTTGATTAGACAAATGACCGGTAAAGCGTATACATGTACAATAATGTACACGCTATTTTGCCAACTTGTACAAGTTTAACACTGGTGTACTTTCGCTTTACCGGTCCTTTGTCTGATGAAGGTAACAGAGTACCCACCGTAATAGTCATGGACACGTCACAAATTATCATTTCACCGGTTGTGCTATATGAGCCAGAATCAAGTAACATGACACACTAACAATCAGAAACATCGGTACTACATGTAACACCACACTAGGAAAAATAAAAGATTTCCAATGAGATCGTGATGGCGGCTACAAGTCCTGCCCTTAGAGTACTGTATCTCGTAATACTGTCAACACTTGTCAAACAAAATACATGTACCGGCGTGATAAAGGAACGTGGTCGTTATATAGCGGTATAAATAAAAAGAGCCTTTGATAAGTTGTTACACTGAAAGATGTATTCAATAACAGAGATTGGTAATGTAATGTAACAAATGTATGGTGCGTGCTTTTTGCAAACAAACGAAAACGAAATATTGAATGTGTAAACAAAGTGTGGGTTAACTCCGGATCCCGTACCGACTTAAACCGGACAAGTGGTAACAAGAGCGAAAGTAGAATGTCTTTGCACGTTAGTTATCTGTAAAATAATATGCAGATGTGTTGACAATTTAACCCTGTAATGTTATATATTTCGGAACATTTTATAATCATATTTTCACTACATTAGCCTTTTCTACCACTGGTATAATGCCGAGGTGGCCATCTCGCGCAGAACAATATTTTGTAGTGTTTGCCGTTCTGCATCGTCAGACAACATTTTAAAATAGGTGCTCGCTTCTTCGTATTTCTTTTATTTTTATTTTTCACATGTAATACAACGCTGCAGAATGCCGTATTTATTGTTGAATTTACTTTTGTATCAGTGTGTAGTCCCCTGAATGATGACATCTTCATTCAACAATTTACCAGATCATTAAGAATAGTGACGTCACAGTTTACCTTTTCTCCTTTTTGGGCCGCTACCACCATGTTGAAGACGTACACACCGCTAGATGGCGCTGTGAACTTCCCGGTGACGGGGTCATAGGCTGATCCGTGGTTGACGACCACGCGCTTATACGGCAACACCTGGTCAATCAGCGGTCCCTTGTTCTTGTCTAGAGCTGCGAAAAATGCCACGGGAGATCCAGACCCTCCTTCAACAGAACAGATACATTACATAGGGAAGTCTGACCCATCAATTGTTTTAAATTTTGACTATATATCATAGCGATTCATATATCGCGTATATGTCAACTGATTGTAACTAGAACATGTTTTCATTATTAATGATAATACTAATGGATGGATGGATGGATGACGGGTTCGCGCCTACATGAATCCGCCCTTACGGGTTTCATCTCACTGACGGAAGTCAGTGTTATAATACTAATACTTCGAGGTTCTTATATTCCGCTTTATCACAACCTAGTTCGTAGGTCGTCTCAAAGCGGTTCACAAATTATCATCTGTTGTTATAGGGCCTTTGCAACCAGCCAATATCTTTCTCAACTCCCTTGGGAGCACACAGTCGGTGCTGCCATTTCGGCGCTCACAGCTAACATATAACAATCTAACTCCAATGTCCAACCACGTACTCATTTACAGCTTAGTAGACTGGAACATGCGGAGTAAAGTATTGCTCAAAGATACAACCCAGTGCCGTGTCGTGACGTGACTCTAACCCCTAACCCTTCGGTCACGAGCCCGCGGGCGTCCTACTACTAGACTATCGTGCCTCCTTATCAACTATCACCGAATGATATTTATTCCAGACAAATAGTTGACATTCATGTTACATTGACTTTTGCATCTATTCGGCGCTCCAAATAAACTATGTTCTCTCGAGATAAGTGTGAGATGATGCAAACAGTTGGGCAAGGGAGGACTGTTTCATTGTATTAAAAAACAAGAGGCCCAGGGGCCTTAATAGCTCACCTGGTATTTTATTTTCAATTTAAAACCTGCTGATTACCATACAGGTCTATCAAAGGAGTACAAGAAACAAAGTTGCAAGATATAGCCTCCAGGGATTGGTCTGGACCACCTGGGCCCCTATTGGGCCTCACATGCACCTTTTTATACAAATTAAACAAATTGAGTTTTTTCCTCCTACGCACGCCTCAGACCACATTTGGTTTAAATCCCTTCATTTGTACGGAAAGGAAACTATTTTTCTCTATTTCCCCTGTTGGGTCCCGCTCATCTGCCCCCTGGGGGGGGGGGGGGGGGGGGGGCACATCCTCCATTTAACTTCCCTTTGCCCAAAGATGCTCTAGAACAAGTTTCGTTAAAATCCCTTCATCGGTACAAAAAGAGAAGGATCTTTAATGTTTTCCTCTATTTCCCCTAATGGCCCCACCCATCTGCCCCAAAGAAGGGAGTCCACACACCTCAGTTTATACAAAACTGATTATTTTGTCCCTAAGCATGCTTCAGACCACATTTGGTTTAAATCCCCTAACTTGTATAGTAGGAGATAATTTTTCCTCTATTTCCCCTATTGGGCCCCGCCCCTCTGCACACAGAAGGGTCACATGTACATCTCCCCCCCCCTTCCCTCCAGAGGGGCCATACCATCCGTGTATACAAACTTGAGGCTCTAGAACAAATTTGGTCAAAATCCTTCTATTGGTTGAGAAGAAGAAGATTTTTAAAGATTTATCTATTTTCCCCCGATTTGGCCCCGCCCCTCTGCCCCAAGGGGGGCCATACCCTCCGTTTATACAAAACTGAGAATACTTTGGCCAATGATGCTCCAGACCACATTTGGTCAAAATACTCCGAGCCGTTAAGGACTAGTGGAGTTTTAAAGGAAAAAGTTGACTGACGACGGACGCCGGACGCTGCGCCATGGCATAAGCTCACTTGGCCATTTGGGCCAGGTGAGCTAATGATAAATCCTTCATGCGTGTTTATTATGTACATCAATTGATTTCGTTCAAATTCAATTCAGATCTGTCGTCAACAAGCATATAATTAATATTTTAGCCCATATTCCATTATCAAACAATCAATATCTTGATTATCAAGATCACTATTTTTGATTGATATTCACAATAGTGAATGCAATGGAGACTTACCAGCCCCCAACTCGTTATTCCGTCTTTGCGTATTGCAGAGTTATCTTCTCTTTGGAGCAGGTATTGATTGTTACGTCACTTGTTTGTGAGAGGAACGTCATCAATTTTTGAGAAAACGACGTCATTTTCTCACACAAACCAATGACGTAACAATCAATACCTGCTCCCAAGAGAAGATAACTCTGCAATGCGCAAAGACGGAATAAGCACTATGATCTGTTTCAGCACGCGCGTCTATCATTTTCGGTTTATGAGCGTGTTCTTCATTTCAATTAGAGTTGACCTTTCAGGTAAATTTTAAACTAGGGATGTACTTCCTACTTCCGTAATCAATACACTCCTATGACCTTAAACTCGTTTGAACAATTGTCCTACGTTAAGAAATACAACAGGATATTTATTTTGTCTTGCATTTTTCCGTGAATTGTTTTCATTTCATTTTAAACAATTAATTGAGCTTATAAGCAACAAACACAGGTAGGCAGATGAAAAGTGTTTAAAACTGTATCAAAGGTAGGGTCCACTCCAATGTTTAAAATCCTAAATGGTCGGCCCACTCAGCGATGGTTCTTTTTATATTTTATAAGTTTCGGAAATGAAAAATTTGCCGGTTTAAGAATTGAAAAAAATGGTTACCATACAAAGAATATGTATATGTAACATAATTTATTAGCAATAACAATTGGTAGACTGTCACTATAAAGCATAACACGAAGAGTGTGAAGTTATGTCGAGTGATCTTTTAGCTCAATCGGGACTCCAGTTTTGACAAAGAACCCAGTATTGGCATTATAGATTCTTCTAGTTAAAAGGTAAATAGTTGGTATCAAAATGATCATCTACCTCTTAGCAGCAGCATCATAAGGGGGAGATATCAGCTTTAGATTAAATTTGTGATTTTGCAGGCTCTTGAGTAATTATAACTTCATGTCCTGAGCAGAAGTACTTTGAGGATCTCAAATTTTGCCAAATCAGACTCTAGGGAGGTGATTTGGCCAAGTTTTTAATACTGTCTGCAGTCTGGCAACGTTGTTGCAAAATATGAAAAAATCGCTGCGTGGGCAAAAAATGGACCCCACCTTTTATAGAACGGATACCACTAAATTGAAATGCAAGTCAAACATGTCCAATCACACATCTTACGTCAGGATACCTTAGCATACATGTATTACGTGGCTAATGTAAGTTAACGGAATTATCTGACACTGAAATGTATTTATCTCCTAAACGAGTGTCATTGTCATTAAAATGCATTACTACATTGTGTATCCTCAGAACGTACCCGAATCACCAGGACCACCCTTCATTCCAGCAAGTCCTTGGAAACCCGTTAATCCCCTTATACCGTCCTCACCAGGTATTCCGGGAAATCCGGGTTCACCTTTTCTACTTTTACACTCAACCTTCAATATACATCCGGGACTCTCGTCTTCCTCGTCAGTAGTAGGTGGGGGTCTCTCCGGCTCGAGTAATGACACCCTCTTGAGATTCTGTTGTTTCCGGTTCGCATAGTAATTTGAATATTTCTCCTTGTCGCCGTTAACAAGTGTAACCGCCAACAAAATGGCGGAAATGAATATTAGAGGTAAATGCATTGCTTACCTGTTGAAAAGAGAAAAACAGCCCTTTGTTTTATCGACAAAAAACGACAGTTACACAGTAGGCGATAAAGAAAAAAGAAAAAAAAGATGAAATAATGTCTTTCTCATAATGCATTATTACTTCCTACCATTAGTGAATAAATCAGCCCGAGTTTCCTCTAGCCATGCCACTAGACTTAGACATTTTGACAGATAGATTTCTGTCAAAATGTCTAAGTCAGCTGTCAGAGCCAGAGGAACTCGGGCCACGTATAAATGAACAACATTTACGTCAGACACCATGCAACAGAAAAATAAAGAAAGTCTAAGATGAATGCAAAGCGAACGGCAATACTTAATATAAAGCATAATATAAAAGAAAGAAATTTCTGAAAAGTTCATTCGAATTTAGTTACAGGAATACTGACAACTCAATATGTGTTACACGTCATACGGATATATCGAATGCAAAAAAAATATATCCTAACACACGGCAGACAGAACAAATATATGTAGGCAAAGACGTATTGTCATAGATGTATGAATATATAACATTTCATAAATGTAATGTTCAGTACGAAGCTTAAAAAAGAAAAAGAAATAACTATACAATAATTATATGTGTACTATTTAAATATCACTTTTAAAACAGTTCATTCATCTTTATCCTTCATTTGTAAATAGATCATTAGTTTTAACTCCATCTCCTAACAGAGTCATTAGAATTGTAAGCTTACATCTTCCTATATTTGTATTATGTCTGTTAAAATACGGTATAGGTTTTGATTAAAACAAATTCTATCGCCAGAAATGTAGCAAACGTTTGGGCAAAAGTTATTACAACATTGTAAATGTCCTATCCACATATATTGCCAGAAATAAATAAATGTTTAGGTTTGTTTTTCGATACTATTTAGTAGTTGTCTTGGTGAGCTCAAGTGCGGTATTGAAACGTGTATGATAGACAGACAAAACATAGATACATGTGTTTAAAGCTGTTGATCATGTAAATACAGAAATGCAAAATAACGTAAACAATATATTTTTTAAGCAATTGAAGTTTGGAATATAACATTTTGATATATAACATTATGTATATATACGATTGTTATGCTGAAATATAAATAGGAGATATCTTTTATTTTTCACAATGAATTAGAAGACATATTTAACTTAATTTAGAACGAATACAAATATGAAGATATGAAATGTCTGCATACTGAAAGAAATAATATATTATTATTTCTGACAAGCTGTTTAACTGTAGTAGAATAAATAGAAATGTGTTGAATGTAAGAGAACCCAAAGTTAAGCTAATATATATGTTATTTAACTTAAAACAAAATCCATGCTTACCTGTTGGTTTGCTGGTTATTCCGTTTGAAATGACAAACATTTCTAGTGAGGGTATTCCGAAAAACAAAACATCTAGTGAGCGTGTTCCGAAGGACCTCTAACCTATGTAGCCTCTCCGTTTACTGGTAAATAGGTTTTATCTACATGAGGTTATATGTTAAACCGCTTCGTCTAGAGTAAGTTTCAATTTTAAAGATAGCTTCTGGAACTGTCTAAAGTATAGACTATAGATATTTATGAGGTGTTGAATGGAAATATATTAAATACTAGATACAATGGAAAGATATTAAATACTAGATAAAATAGAAATATATTAATAAAATCTTCCCTTGAAGTGAGGCTGTTCCATAGAAACTCCGCTATCTTGGGGGTTGATTTAAAAGTTTATAAATACTACATTAATCAGAGTGTGACAGCACCTAGCGTCACCCTCTGATGGTAAAAACAATATATATATTTTATTATACCGAAAGTCAAAATGGAGGCTGAAATGAACCGGACACGCAGCTTCTTTGCGCTGTCACTATTTTGCATTGTCACACAGACTGTCACTCGTTGCTAGGGCGTTGGGAAGCATCCCCTTCCATTGACTCAATGCTAAAGCGATTGTGTCAGTGTTAAATGAACAATTTGTCTCGATCAATCAGATTACATGATTTTCACTAGAGATAACATAGGATGAGGAAATTAGTGTCATAATTGAAACAATTAAAAGATCGTATCTTTTATTTTTCATAAATTGCATTATTTCGTTTGAGACTAAATTGCCGTCTGATGCAGTAATCCTAACTGTTAACAGTCAACATACATCTGCAAACCGTGAAAGGTTGATTGCAATACTAGTTAACTATAGCAAGAACTACTTAAAAAAGTATGTGAAGCTTGCAAATTTAAGTTGGTCGAGGTTCCTGTGTCACAGAATGCCATTTGGTTCTTTCAAGAGACGTGACGATTGTCCGTCTTACAAGATAGTGGTCGCCTACAAGTTTTCTTTTCCTAACATTTCACCTTAACATTTCTGAAGCTGATAATTTTGTCACGCCTCATGTTAAGTATACCCTCTATTTTTATTTAATCTTTTTTCTACGATGTATTCATATATATGTACGTATATACATATTGGTGTCACCTTTGGGATGAGACACTTGGCCTGACCTTTGAGCCATGTTTCACAATATTTAGCCTTGAACGTCGGCTTCTCAGACACGTACTTTATCAAAGGTTGTTTATATAAAATTACAATCCAAACAAGCTCTGGATTTCTACAATAACATGTACTAGGCATGCTGTAACCATTTACCTCTGTCATAGGATTGAAACATTTTTTCTATATTTTTGACCAATCTAACAAGCATATATAAATACATTTTTGCAGTGCTCTTTTGATTCCCTCATTTTCCTTTTTAATATCATGTTAATGAAACAACATTTCACTTTGCGGATGAAATTTGGAACAATGCGACTATAATATGTATCGTCTGTGTTTTAGACAGTTCCAGACTTATCTCTGAGGCCTGTAATTGACGCCTGCCGATATCACGTGACGATTTCGAAAACAAAATGTGATAAAACAGTGTAATTGTCTGTAAACTGAACACTTAGCCAGCATAGAAGCAAATTCGGAATACACACGACAGAGGGCTTTATATCTTTGGAACACGCAACAAACAGGTAGGACTATATGAAATATTTCTTACGATTTTCATTTGTTTCAGATTACCCACTAATACACCGCATTTTCTGCATTCTAGTTAGTATTCTGCTTTCATTTAGGGATTTTTCGAGGTTTATTTAGAGTACGCTCCGATTTTTTGTGTTATAGCTCCATAACATAAAAATGTATTCAAGTTAATCCTTATAATTTGGTCTACTATACACAATCCCTTTAGAAATCAACTTTTATTGATGGACTTTTTTCTCTTAGAAATGATTACGCCGCTGTATCAGCCAATCAAAAGCGACTTTACAAACGGCGACGTCATTTTTTTATGTTATGGGCTGATAACAAAATTGTTTAGGCCAATGCAAAGGTTTGTTACAAGCGAGATTAAATTCTTAATAATTAACAACGACCCAGTAAAATAGCATGAGAAGGATTTGGGAGAATGTGATGCTCTTCTAAAAGCTTGTAATGTAAATTTGAATTTGTTGACCCAAGTCCTTGATCATAGTGTTTTTCAGTATATGTTCAGGAGTCTGATTCAATCTAACATTTATCAGTGACTAAATAAAAACAAAACGTTTTGCAACATTTTAGTGTATGATCAGAATAATATTTCATGATTACAAATGTCCTCTATTATTTGTGTATGCACTCGGAACATATGTTGACTCCGCAGAGGGATTGAAAGGATAATGTTTTAAATTAATGATTACATATGTATTGCCGGAAGCCGGAGTTCTTATCAGTTTAGAAAAAAGTTATTTTTGAATTTATAATTATTATATATCCCAATATAAGAGTTTCCTAAAACTTGCGTCATAGAATTCACTGTAACGTTAGTATTTACGACTTCTCTAAAACGGCTTACAGTGGCGGACCCAGGGGTGTTACCCTAGTTGCCCGGGCAAAACCCTTTATCTGTGTCCAAAAATAATCTGGACCAAGGTTTTTGAAGATTTTCCCCTATTTCATATGGAATTTCCTTTTAATATCAACATCTCTTGAACTATGAATTTCTATGGCTTCCCTTTGCCAGCAGTTTGATTATCTATATATGCCTAAGGGTGTTGCCCAAACAAGGAGTCTACTACTTATACTCTAAACAATAGGGGATTAATCCTCCATTGTCTATATATTAGTAGGGTCTCCAGTCAGGTCAGTGGTCTTGGTTCACCAGACTGACTCTACCTAATCTAATGTCACGGCGTGGTGATCACCCAGTTGGGAAAGGACCATATATATACCATCTGTTGGAATTAGGTATATAGGTAAAGTGTTTTTTGAAAGGTAGAGTCTATTTCATGGTAGATATACCTGTATATTCACCGGTGGTTTCAAGTACACATGGTCACCAGGAGTGATTTATTATACCAATTAAAAAATATAAATTTCAAAAATATCAAACACATTGAAGCACCCTCCTTAGCATCACTTCATCAGGTGATTAAAGCCTGGCCTGTACATTCTTTTCATTGGGTGTTGCCCCTGTACATATGTATGCATACTATTTCACAATAAAAGACAAACAGTTACATTACAATCTATATTTATGACAAATAAGTTAATAACATTGAATTGCCAAAATGCTCGCCTAAACTACATGTACATGTATCTACAGAAAAGCCCCCCATAAACTTTGACCATTTTACGGCCATGACACAATCATCAACATTTTAACCAAAAATCTACATTTTTACCATTGTTAACACTCGCTCCGCTCGGCCATCATAAAATATAAATACTCTACTTTATAAAATATAACCTGGAATGATACCGCAAACTTAGAAAACTATTTTATGCCTCACTTGATCTGTTTGACAAGGAAATAATGTCCGATAAATTCTTGCTTTCTACACTCGGCAGTGCTTGAAATAGTTTAGTATTACATCTTCAGAAAACAAATTTTCGACTCGCTCCGCTTGGCAGTGGAAGTATAATAGTCCCAATCTCAGCAAAAATGAAGTTCTATATATTTTGGTTGCAGAAAGTAGTATACATGAAAACCGGCATTAAAAATTGCAATTTATTAGTTTTAGATAAGTGCAAAAATATGTCTTTTTCTGAGTTTAAAAGTTTGGTCGGGTGGTGCAGTGGATAGCGCACTTGCCTTTCATCAAGGCGGCCGAGGTTCGGTTACCCGATCGGATGTGAAAAGGTATGGGGTCACTTGCCCGATCACGTGGGTTTTCTCCTGATACTCCGGTTTCCTCCCACATTAAGACCCCAGCGCGCTAACATCCGGGCCAGGAAGAGTGATTAAAATAAGTTGAAATAACTTGTTTAATAATTGTTGTAAAAAAAAAGAAGTTTATATTAAAGCAGTTTACTTGTGGTAGTGTTTATATAGGAACTAACAGAGAAACTGTTAATAAAACAATTATGAAAAAAGTGACACAGCATTTCAATTAATCGTTGTAACATGATCATGTGATAAAAGAAAGATAATATATTCGTTTCTATTTCATACGGCATTCATTATCTCATCATGGTATTTTCTTTATTTAAGGTTACCTCAAGATCTGGCTTAATAACTCTGATTAGAAACGGAAAAATAGGAAATTTGTCCGGTAAATTTCGGACGTCAAACAAAAGATATTGTGTATTTTTTGTTTACTTCACATATATATTGTCATCCCTCATACACATGAATATAGAATATTTATATCAAATTTAAATTATTTTTACTTGCAGATTTCGGCAAACAACTTGAACGTCCAAGGCCACCAACATCTTGCAACAATGAGAATATCTGTGGTTTCCATAGCCGTCATTTTGTTGGCAGTTATACATGTCAATGGCGACTATCCACCGTTTCCAACATTTCGACCGTATACACCTTCACCTCCTGTGGAGGAAGACGACGAAGATGCCGCATGCGCATTAAAGGTGAAGTGTTCACACCGGAAAGGTTTGCCAGGATTAGATGGACAAAATGGTCTTCCGGGTCTCGATGGTTTACCGGGCTTCACAGGTGAAGATGGGTTTAAGGGCGAAAAGGGGGAAAGAGGTAAGTTGTGTTGATAGAGACACAAGAAGTACTGTTAAGGACTTCCCACCCTTCGTAATACACATGTTTTTCTGGTAGTTTTTAATGTCGTCATTTCCGTATTGCGTATCGGGCATTTCAATGCCGTAGAGTGACACCGGGTAAGTAATAGTACACATGCGTGACGATGATATGTCAACACCCGATATCGAGACCTCACTTGGAAATATATAATCATACTTACTTCAGAAATAAAACTTCTGATACAAAGACATAAATTGACTCACGGGAAGGCACTGACATGAGTTCAAAGTTTATTGTGGTTATTTCATATCAGATTAATTCAATACCGACGGATGGTTAGATGGCGAGGCGGATAACGCACTCGCCTTTCACCACGACTTTCCGGGTTCGGTTCCCCGATCGGACGCGAAAAAGTATCGGGTCACCTGCCCGACCACATTGTCCGAGTACTCCGGTTTCCTTCCACATTAAGAAACAACGGTATTTAGTTAGAAAATTGTGTTTCATAAATGTTGTAAAATCGATAAAGTTTATATATACCTGCATTAATTGTATCTGCATTGAATGAATAATTTACCTTACAAGAATGCGTTGACAGCAGACAACGATATGTATCTTTGTTTTGTCATTAAACCACAGTGGTCAAGGCAGAGTGACCAAGTATTGTAATCTACAAAGACTGATATCATTATACTTCAGATAGCAATGTATGTGCCGTCTTCAATATTAACGTTATAAGTGTCTTTACGTAATTCTTAGGTTCTGTAGCGTACTCTGCTCTGCTTTGGAGTCGAGTAGCCTAATTGTAACATCCCCTTTCCCTGTTTGTTCGTTTTTGTTCTTTGTTTATTATGTTGTTGTTGTTTGTAGGGTTTTTGTGACCGTGACGGTAACAACAATTTGTCCATAAATTAAGCAAAAAAATAATCTGTATTTAATTTCGTGTACAATTGTCAACAACAAACATAAGCTCTGTGGAGCTTTTATTACGACGCCGCTAAGGGAACAAATGATGTTTTCGTGATGGAGGAAAATCCACGGGGGAAAACCACCGTGCCATCGGATGTTAGTGCGCAGGTAGTTTTAATGTGGGAGGAAAACGAAGTACCCGGAGTAAACCCACGTGGTCTTGCAGGTGACCCGATTCCATTTTCACTTCCTATCGGGGAATCGAACCGCGGCCGCCTTGGTCAAAGGAAAGTGCGCTGTTCACTGCGCCACCCGACCAACCAACCATATTTTATTTAACGGAGTGTTTCCCAACGTGTTTTTTAATAAAACATGAAACATTTTGAAAACATTATCAACCTCAATACTTGCTTTTAATTTCAAATTAAATTGAAATGTAATTTGAAAACATGGCTACAACCGAAATTCAGAACACAAATATCATTGCTTATCAACAGGTCTGTCTGTAGAACGTGCAGGGTCATCGGTGGTGTTTTTCTCCGCTCTCGACGAGAACATGGGTCCCCTTAATGGCGAGACGCTGCTTTATAAGCACGTTCCAGTTAACATCGGGTCGGCCTACGACCCCAACACCGGAATGTTTACAGCGCCCTCTAGTGGTATCTACCTCTTCAACATTGTTGTGGCCGCACAACCTGAGAAAACGGTAATGTTTAGTTGATGTTATCAGCATGTGTCAATGATACATTCATGTTAACAGATTGCTGAAATTACTAACGGCAGCGCCCCCAGCCTTGTGCTTCCATACAGAGAATTACATTTACCGTAGCATCATCAAAACCACATTTCGAACTCAAAATCGATCAAACTAGGGAGAAGATGAACAAAGGAAAACATTGAAATCTGGGAAATCCGGAAGCGATTACGGCTTTGTAAGTGTGTCATTTTGCTTATCCATTTCTTCTTAATGTTTGGCTTTTCAATTCTCAACGCCGAGCGGGAAAAAAAGAGAAGAGAATATTGACGTGTTAAGAAAAAGCATAATTCGAACTTATAATCGGTGAAAAGGTAATATGAACAAAAGAAAGATTTAAATAGACACCATTGAAAGTTGAAGCAAAATAATACCAGGTTATCCGGAAGCGTAGGCGTCCATCGCTCATAGTAGGCACTAATTTCATCGAATTTCAGTTCGTATTGGTATATTTTTGTTGCTGTGTTTTTCCACAATATGCTCCAAAACAAACCTTCTGTTCGATCTTGGGACGGGCTTGTCGTGGGAGATACCCTTTTTCTGACCTGTTAGTCTTCACATTTAATATGTTTATTTATGTGTTCATTTATTTTAAACATAGTTTAAACATACGTTTTTGACAAGTTATATGAACACTGCCGATGCCATCTCTTTCAATGTATACATAGAATTTAAGGACATGGACACAAATAGGCAAATAACAAATATTTTTCAAAACAAAAGAGAAAATAATTATGCGGTAAGAATTTAAAACCTAAACATTAATATATATATAGAGAGAGAGAGAGAATACTAGAATTATTGAAAATACAGGTGCTTTGATTAATTCTTAAAATTTCACTCTAGAAAAGACTTATTGTATCAGAACTTCTTGGGTTTCAATGTTTTCCCGCGAGGAGATTGATGGGTATATCACTAAATCTTACTACAGGGACTTTGTGACGTCAGCGCTCCACACGAGCTGATCACAAAAATGTCAAGATTCCTTGGTCAAACCATTATCTTTATTATTATATCAATAGTACACTTAAATTCCCGCAGCTTGAATATATGTAAAATAAATCTATATATGGTAAAATGACTAAAAATAACATCGTGACGTTTAACTCTGCGTGGTTTGTTACAGGCTGCCGTCCAGTTACGAAAGATCGTGGACAATACTGACAAACACGTGGTTGTTGTTTGGGCGGAGAGCCTTCCGAATTGGGGCACGTCATCAAATTCTGTGTACCTTTCCCTCGACCAAGGACAGCAACTCTTCTTGATTGCAAGACAAAATCTGAATTCGTATTACAACGCTAGCATGAGCACTACTTTTAGTGGACATTTGGTTACGCCTGCTTTATAAACAATTATAACAAATAACAGAAGTAAAGCTTTCTCTACTTGAAATCAAATGCTTTAAGAAGATTATATTTAGGGGAAAATTAATTTAAAATGTTGATGTATCTAAATAGAGTGATGTATTATACACGCATGCGTGACAGTAAAGTCCAACACGTGATAGTTGGTGATTGTGTCTGAATTTGAATATAAAGTATCCCGTACCTGTCAGCAATATAGATCATGTTGTGTTTGTTTATGTTTTGTTTTTGGGGACAATAATGCTCACTATAACATCCATATTTTAGATCTTACCTGTGGTCGTTTCATACAAGTTAATTACGGTAACAACCGTCCGACCAGCACGTACCTCAGTCCCATGACGAAATAAATGTCCCTTCTCATATTCCAATTCCGTTTATTTTTCAGTGCTTAAATGATTTTTAAAAATACACAAACCACTATCCATCCCCTACATCCTCTACTCCCTAAGAACCTTCTTTGTTGGTCCCAGATGAGTGTCTATGTCAGCTGTAAGATAAGGGCCTTTTTGTAATATAAGGTATGCTTTATTTGAAGTCGGCAAGTCGAGGAATAACAACAAAAAACACAAGTTCTGGTGAGATTTTAAGACCGTCATTAACATGTAATACAGAAAATTTACAAAATATCAGTTAAACATGTTAATAGATAGATCATTATGAAGTATGTACACATGTGAATAAGACAGGCATACTAACTAAACTGATAAAATCTTCGTCCACTTAGTGTAGAATTATTTCCAAGGTTATTTTGAAATACATATATATAGGAAGCAGTAAAATCAGAAATCACAAAAACATTATGGCACATGCATACATAAGTTTTGATATATTTTATTTGTCATTAGACATGACAATTTATAGGACGTCCTGATCCTTATAAATAAACCACAATGGTTTATAGTTGCAGGTAAAGTTTAAACATATTTTATTGTACAAGTATACAAATGTATTAGACAACAAATTATTTCAACTTAATATGGTCCTCTCTTCAATACATATGGCAAAAATATATTTCTGGGAAAAGGGAGAAAGCCTAGTAGAGTAATTCCAAAATGAACAGAATCAATATAAAACAACGTACACACATAGATAAAAACAAAGAACAATAATTATGGTTACCACAATCTATTGCTGGAATTGATTTAATGATGCACATGTCTAAAAATGTTTGTAATAATTTCTACCGAAAGTTGACTATTACCAAACAAAAGTAGTTCTAAATTAAAATCAAAATGCAAGGCATTCACATTTTGGAGCAGGATGCGTTTTAAAGTAAGCACTCACAAACAAATTGAAAGGCATTTTCACAGGGATGGCCACAATAACAAACTGGACTAGCAACAAGATTTACTCTATAAAGATCATATTTGAGTGGACTACACTGATGTGTAAGTTTTGTGTGCAAAATGTTTAATTCACGTTCACCGAAACCTAAGTAGACTGGTGGAGGAGATTGTACATTTGAAGTTAACGAGTGTTTGAAAGAATGTAAAGAAGTCAATGATCGAGTTGAAGGTATAAACGATGAATTTGTTAGAGAAAGCCTGAAAGGAAGAATATTATAATCATAATTCGTTTCTAAGGGTGTAACGGTTATTTTCTGCAACGGTAGACGGCAATAGATCATTTAAATAGTCCGCAGATTATTTGTTGTGCATTTTATACAAAATTCGAAAAAGTTTCTAGACCAGTTTCAAAAAGTAAGTCTTCAATTCGGGCATATGAAGGAAGTCCAGTTATTATACGAGAAACTTCTCTTTGGGCTTTCTCTAACATTTCTGTATTTGAGTCTGCGTAACACGTTGACTTTTTTCATAACTGAAGTATATATTGCACAAATATGATCCCGCCATTTTGCACTTGAATTATTAATTACACCTTAATGTTGATGATGATCATTAAAATTTAAAAATTCGCCATTAAATTCTAATTGTAAATCTTCATAAATTTCAACCGAGTTTGAAACAAAAATTACCTCAGGTTTTGTCTGGAATGAATGTTACTAAGCAAGTTTGGGACCATGCATTAAGAGGTTCGAGATCTCTATTCATAATCGTTTGGATTTCTAGACATGAAGATGATGATGATGATTTTAACAAAGAAGTATCGTATGGAAATAGACGAGCGGTTGATTCAAAAACATTAGCAATATCATTTATATGTTTAAGAAACAAACGAGGTCCAGGAATCGAACCCCGAGGAACACCTGCTTCAATGAAACCTCAGTGGAGGTAAGAATTATTCAAAAAGACTCTCTGCTGTCTCTGAACCATTCCCCTGAAATTCCATAGGACTTAAACTTAATCATCAAACCCTTATGCCAAACCCGATCAAAAGAAATATCGCAGAATACCATACATACATGTTTTTTCCCCTCTAGAGCAATGCCGGTCACCTTTTTTATATTTGCAGCAGATACGTGGTGGTGATATCATCAATATTTTTCATATAATCAGAAACATTAATTAGATAAACGATATAGGTCGAAAGGATGTGTTCTCAAGAAAAATCTGTGCACTTATTACGGTTGCTTTGTTTAAATCGAAAATTATTCACAAACATATTGGAAGTATTTTTAAAATGTCTGTATATTTTCACATTTTTCTCAAATAAGTGTTGTTAAAGACTCGTTAATGAACTTGAGCCTAATATATCGTTGAGCGCTATTAGTGCTCTGATGTAAGAGTTATTCCCCTTGGATCATGTTATGATTCTTTTGAGTAATGAATGCTGCATACATTTTTTCGATAAAATATGTTGTAAAAGTTAAGTCAAAACAAGTCCATTTCTCGGGAGCGGTTGTTATTTTACATATTCAAGTTACATTGATTAAGTATAGTCTGATGCATATGGACAAGAAAATTTGTTACAGCAGGTATGGTTGCATCCTCTATACTCCAGTGGTAACGCTCACTTTCGCTGTATGCAGAGAGCGAAAGTGAGCGTGACCCCAGGAGTATTGAGGATGGAATGGTTGGACTTTTTCCTGGTATGTAGAGGTGTATGAGACGTGCGAAGAGTCTACATCAACACCCAGTAAAATAATCTTAGCAAACCTATGCACTTATGAGACATTTCTGATGCACACGTTTTCCAGTTCATTGCAGAGTGGCAAATCTAGTGATCAATGTTGTGGTTGTAGTGGAGAGGGCGGGAGGGAGGGAGGGGTTATGGGCGGATTGGCCGAGTCGTTAACACTCCTTGCTCCTACGCAGGCGGCCGGGGTTCGATCCCTAATGTCGTCGTACGCATGAATTATTCAGATAAAGTGTTTTTCTCCTGTCCACACAACTCCAACAACCAAGGCGGAATATATAATGGTCTGCGGTAGATGTTGCGGTATCCGTGTTTTAGCAATTAAATGAGGTGGCACTATAAAAGATGGCACTATGACACTTGACTTTACTGATTCGGTACACTGTCACAGTGTGATTTAGTCAGTTGTTTTCAGCGGTTTAGAGTCGAGACACCGGCCATTTACACTTTTTGCTTGTTAAAGGAAACACATGTAGCTGATGGGAAAGATGCCTAAATAAGACAAAGCCACTGGGTTCGGTTCTATTGCATTTTAATGCTCATAAATAGAAACATTCTGATATACACAATAACAAATACGCATAAGCTCTATATGCATATATGTCATATTTGGGTAAAATACAATCTACAAATCTCAACAATTCAATGACAATTACTAAGATAATAAAATTACAACGCTTTCTGGTACTTATTTCTGATATTTTCCAACAAGGAATTATTCAATGACATAGGAATAAAATCTAGTACTTCAGCAAAATAGTTATTTTACTTTATACATTATCATAAACGTTTACAATACTTCGAATCGTGAAATTCCAATTACATGATTATAATATCACATTTATACACTATCAATACATTATAGATGCACTATAAATACACTTTAAATACAGTATAAATACACTCACAACACGTATCATGCGTTCACGTCATAAGGCAGAAAACGCATGTCCTAATGACTAAACCGTCATCGTCTCACATAATGAATCTGTACGAACTACAATAAATGTAATAGAGTAATAGAGTAAAGTATCACAACAAAAGCATAACACTTAACTTTTACAATAAATATATAACTTATAACGGGATTACAAATACCCGAACCTTCATTCCAGAATAACATATTTAATATCAAACTGCAGTCATCAAATCAACGACTCATTAAAACATCTCATAATTTAATAATTCCCACTTATCATACACGTGGGGAGATACATACTGGGGGATAGAGTTAATATAGAATCAAACTAATTGAAATAGACATTTCAACTTACCAAAAATAGACCTCTTATTATCAAACTGAATCTTCTAACCTGTCTCCTTTCAAATCAATTTCAAAAAGTGACCGTAAGCTAAAACAAACCTACACGAGTACTTACGACACACACTTTCGACCAACACTACACACACGAAGAACAAGAACACGCATTATTCTTCTCTACAAGGTCTCCAAGAAAGCTGGGTCCACGTCCCGAGGCTGGGTACATTGGTGCTCAGTGCGTATGTGATCATTTCGGGGGTGTGATTGTCGCGCGCTGGGCGTCAACGTAGCAGAAGGCTTTCACAGTAGCTCCAATTTGAGCCAACCTGTTTGCCGTGGGTTGCGTCTCGTATTCCTGGGGGAAGAAGATCCTGGTGGTTGAGCAGGGGTCGGAATCACTGATGAACTCTGGATTGGAGGGAGACATGATCCGACTTTCTGCAACATGCTACTTTGGCTTCGGACTCTGGGAAGTCGAGAGGTGGTATGGGCCCTCTATCACCAATCGGCTGGTCACGCCGAGCCCTTGGTTTACATACTTCCAAGAAGGCGGTGGCTTAGGGTCAATCGCGAGAGTATGCTCTTCCGGGTAATATATATACTCGTTATGTATACTTTTACGAGTATACTACTTTGTGTATCCCTGACACTTTGGCGCTGGATATCCGCGCTGATATTAGTGTC